CGGCCGGTGCTGTTGGGAGGGGTGGGCAACAAACTGCCCCTCAAAACGCGACAAAACTGTTTGAATAAATTCATTGACGAGTATTTGACGTTTTGCGGGGAAGAGGAGGCATTCAAACGAGTAATTAATTATTCATTTGCTTTCAATTTTTGTAAACTTTTTTCTGGTACTACAAGTCGTCGACAGTGTACTCGCAATGAAAAGTTTTATTGTTTTTTGTTTAACAAATTAGTTTTTTCACTTTTTATTTGTCATATGTTTGCATGAAAAATATTCCAACATTTGCACTCCGATGTCATTGTTTTGTATGTAAAACAATGTGTGTTGTGTTTGTAATTTAACTATAAAATTATTTGTTTCAATTTTTTTTGTTTTAAGTTTAGGACTCGAGTTTCATAATTATACAAAACTTTATGTAAACATTTTTAGGCCTATCCCTGAGAACTTTGAGTCGGAGTCTAATGAGTATTGACTTCAGTATAACTTTCCAAACGCTTTATTTGCAGTGTTTTATTTGAGTTGTAATTATTTGTATTTATTGTTTAGTTGTTGTTAATAATGGTTTTTCTCCATAAAATGAGTCAATATTTTAAAAGAATTTTAAGTCTTATTTAGAAATCATAGGCTTAGGTCTCAAACAAAGTTATAAATTAGTTGTCATTTAGAAAATAATAACTTATTCTCAATTTATAAACTTTGGATTATCTCCGAGTCTATAAGTTATTAATTTATAATGACTCGCATTGCGTTTACACTAGTTTTAAACAGTGAATTGAATTTCATTTTCAACACATAATCTCCCGAAAAAGGGTTTGTCGTCCGAGAAGTCCGTATACGACAGAAGCAAAACGGAGAACATATACAAAGTGTTTGCCGTCCATGAGGTGAAGAAAATACGTACCCAATCGGAGTCCTCGAAGACCGGGTCATCCCCACAGAAGCCGATGACGGCCGACGAGATGAAGCGATTGGGGAACCGTGTGGTCAGTCACGAGGCGATACTGAACGGCAAGATTTCGGGCACTTTTAGTATTGAAAAACGTCAGCAAAGGGTGT